GAGTTTGTACTGGGCTTTCTCTTTTGGGCCACCAGCCAGCTTTCAAATCATGACACAGAGACTTATTATTAGTCATAAATGTTCAGCCTAACATTTATGACTTCTTGCTCTGGTCATGTTTCTCTCTTCTCTATTTCTCTCCTTCTCTTCCCCAGCCTAGAGTCTTCATCCTTTATTCCCTCTGCCTGCTAGCTCCACCTGCTCTTCTCCTGCCTTGCTATGGGCCATTCAGCTTTTTTATTAGGCCCATCAGGTGCCTCAGGCAGCAAGGTAAAACAAATGGAACACATCTATACATGATTAAACATGAACATGTCCATACATATTAAACAATCACAGCATAAACAAATATAACACATCTTTACACAGTTAAATTTCCACAACAGAAGTTTGATGTGGGAGTGATTTCTTATTAATAAAAAAACTGCCTAGGCCCATTTGATAGGCCAACCCTTAGGTAGGCGGAAAAAACAGAACAGAATGCTGAGAAAAAAAAGCTAAATCAGTCGGTCACCATGATTCTCCCACTCCAGACAGATGCAGGTTAAGATCTTCCCTGGTAAACCACCTCGTGGGCTACACAGATTATTAAAAATGGGTTAGATCAATATGTAAGAGCTAGCCAATAAGATGCTAAAACTAATGGGCCAGACAATGTTTAAAAGAATAGAGTTTCCATGTAATTATTTCAGGTATAAAGCTAGCCGTGCGGGCGGCTGGGTGCCAGGAACACAGCCCCGCCGCTCCTATTACAACAGAAGTTGGCTAGGAACCCTGTATCATAGAGTTTGGTTCGATTGGTGACTGAAGCATTTACCTAAATTGTTCTATTAATTATAAAAACTCAGGATCCAGATATTGGGGTACAAATCTGATAGATCAAGAAGGTGGCTGGCTGACCCTTTCTCTCTACCCCAGACTGAAGAGGCTGCAAATCTCTCCAAGGCCCTCCGTATGCCTATTATGGCCCTCTCTTCCTATCCCTCTCTATCTGGGTCCTCCAAAATCTATGGCTAGTTCTGGTTGGCTAGCTGTGGACTCCACCTCTTTTTTTTTTTTTTAAAGATTTATTTATTTACTGTGTGCATAGTGTTCAGCCTGTATGCTTGCAGGCCAGATGAGGGCACCAGATCTCAGTACAGATGGTTATGAGCCACCATGTGGGTGCTGGGAATTGAACTCAGGACCTCTGGAAGAGCAGTCAGTGCTCTTAACCTCTGAGCCATCTCTCCAGCCCCTGGACTCCACTTCTTGATTCAAGATTTAAATTTAGTCTCAGAGTGTTACAGTACAAACAAATATCCCAGAACACACGACCCATGTCTTTGATTGCAGAATTTGGCAGATTATAAGCAGAAACAGGCAGATTTATTTTGAGTTTGAGGCCAGCCTCATCTACACATTGTTTTCCAGGACAGCCAGGGGTACAGTCAGGGATCCAAAGTGAGATCCTGTCCTGTGCCTCACCATAGTTTAGTGTTTGAAAGTGTTATGTAGCCTAGATGCAGCACATTTTGTAATGTTAAAACATGATATTTGCTGGGTGATGGTGGCACACCTATTTAATCCTAGCACTTGAGAGGCAGAGGCAGGTAAAATTCTGTGAGTTCAAGGCCAACCTGGTGTACAGAGTGAGTTCCAGGACAGTGAGGGTGTTAGAGAAGCCATGACTTAAAAACAAAACAAAACAAAATAAAATAAAACAATGAAAAAGGATGTAACAAGAGCTGTCTAGAGGATCATAGCACAGCTGGAGGAGGGCTCACTCAGTGTGCAGCAGGTGCTGGGGTCATAGCACAGCTGGGGAGGGCTCACTCAGCATGCAGGAGGTGCTGGGGTCATAGCACAGCTGGAGGAGGACTCACTCTTCCTGCAGCAGGTGCTGGGGTCATAGCACAGCTGGAGGAGGGCTCACTCTTCATGCAGCAGGTGCTGGGTTTTGCAGTCGCTCGTGTCTTGGGAGGAGACAGAGGAAGTGATCATCAGACATGCTAGATCACTGACTGCTGCCCAGGGAGACATCCTGGGAGGTGAGAAGGGACCCAGGGATGCCTGGGAGATTTCCATCTGGGTGCTGGTGAGGATACAGAAGTTCTCCTGGATTGGAGGAACTATGTCCTCTCAGCCATCTGTATTTCTGGAATGGTTTTGTCTTTCTCAGTGGAGACGAACATTTGTTTGCGTGTCTTGTGTGTCTTCAGTCTCGTTTTGTCTTACTTGTGACTTTGATGATTGGGACAGACTGTGACGTTGACCCTGGATCACTGGTTTTGTCTTTCTAAGTTTTGTTAGCCTTTGTCTGTGTATCTTTGGTCTCTGTTTTGTCTTATGTGCAGGTAGCGTGTTCGGTTCTCTGGTGAGATATGCGGGTGGCATTTCTCAGTTCTGTGGTATGACATGCGAGTGGCGTGGTCAGTTCTCTGTAGATGTGTGGATAGCGGTCTCATTTTGATAGCGGGGCGGGTCACACTCTTTGGTTTGTTTGGTGCCATTGTCCTGTATGTCTGTGTAATGTGTGTTGTGCTTTTGTCCTGACTTAGACTGATGCTGACGTACTCAAACCATGATTCTTTGACTTTGATGTTGTGACCACTTACAAGATTTTAGAGATAGGGCCTTAAGCATAGGGGTATATTTCATAAAAAAAGTCAGCCTCAGCCCCAAGTACGTGGCTGCGGGGCAGCATGCTTGTTTGGATGGCTGGGCTATTCAGCCTTGCTGTTACAAGGTATCCAGGCTGCCAGACACAGTTGTAGAAGGAGGATGTACCCCAATAGGATTTCACACACTAAACAAAAAATCTGAGGGTAATCACTATGGCCTAAAGAGGTTAACAATCTGTTTTCCCCAGTGCTGCATACCACCCTGCCCCCCACCCATGGACAAGTTCCTTCTGCCTGCCCTGGGAGCTGCAGGCCTCAAACCTCTAGTCAAAGCTGACCAAGACTTGGCTCCGTGGGTGAAGAACTCTTTCAGAACCTATGGGTTATAAGTATCTGTCATCATTTATAGGGGCTGGTTACAAATTATTGTTGGTTAATGTTTAAAAAAAAAACCTATTGCTGGTCTCAAATGTTTCACACTGGTACAGGATTTTATATGCTGTTCTTGTTTAAAATCTAGCCATACATCCCCACTGAGAAAAAACACACACAAAAAAGGCAAGATTTTTGGTATGTTGTCTAAAAAGCAAGAGAAATTTTTGGTATGTTGTCTAAAAAGGAAGAGATATTCTGGTAAAAAAAATGTGTAAACAGAAATGGGCCTTATCTAGTTCCCTGTGTATGTTTTCAAGGTCAAACTTAAAGCAGGTAGGGGAGGCTGTCAGTCTGTCGCTGCAGGGCTCTCATGACAGATCTCTGAGGGGCCACAAGACTCCCCACTAATTTGACCAAGGTAAGAGAGGTTCTTCAGGGGCTGGTTGAACCACCATTTGTGTTTCTTGAGTGTTTAAAGGAGGCTTAGAGGTGTTATACTCCCTTTGACCCAACCTCTGAGGGTCAGCGGTAGCTATGGTGTTGTAATTAGAGCAGCGGGGCTGCATCCCCAGCACCCTGGCCGCCTGGCTAGCTTTTGCCCCGAAATAACAACACACAAACTGTATTCATTTAAACACTGCTTGGCCCATTTCTATCTAGCCTCTTCTAGGCTAATTCTCGCACCTGGACTAGCCCATTTCTAATAAGGTATGTAGCACCCCAAGGTGCGCTTACCGGGAAAATTCTAGCCTACGTCCAGCCTGGGTTGGAGCTGCCTGGGAGAGAGGAGCCTGGCGTCTCTGCTCCAGAGAGCAGAGCTGTTGAGTCTGAGCTCACTTCCTCTTCCTCCCAGCATTCTATTCTGTTTACTCCTCCCACCTATGTTTTAACCTATCAGGGCCAAGGAGTTTCTTTATTGCTTAACCAATGAAATCAACAGATTGATATATGACACTCCCACATCACTATGGCCTTTATAGGACAGTCAGCATCAGATATTAAGAAAAGTTACAGCGGTTAGAAGGGTTGCAGGATTTGGTTAAAGAGGCAGAGAAAGTGTTTCATAAGCGAGAGACTGAGGAAGAGAAGAGAAGAGAAGAGAAGAGGAGAGAGAGAGAGAGAGAGAGAGAGAGAGAGAGAGAGAGAGAGAGGCAGGAGACAGAAGAGAGGACTGGAGGGATCATAGACAAAAGAGAAATTTGATAGAATTTTGGCGGAAGTGGTAGGAGAGAAAGGGAAGACAGGACCTGGGCAGATAGAATCTGGGCAACAGAGGACCAAAAGTGAGTGAAGATGGACAGAGGCACCCCTTAGACAAAGACCGATTTGCTTATTGCAAAGAAAAAGGACACTGGGCAAGAGAATGCCCAAAGGAGAAAAGAAGGGCCTCAAAGGTACTGGCCCTAAATGAAGATGATTAGAGGGGACGGGGCTCGGACCCCCTCCCCCGTGCCTAGGGTAACCCTGACTGTGGAGGGGACCCCTATGGACTTTCTAGTGGACACAGGGGCTGAGCACTCTGTGCTGAAACAACCATTGGGGAAACTAAAGAATACAAAGACTATAGTAATTGGAGAACTGGACAGAAACAATATCTGTGGACCACCTTACGAACTGTAGATTTGGGGAGAGGACAAGTGACTCATTCCTTCCTGGTTTTCCCTGAGTGTCCCATGCCTTTACTAAAAACAAAATTGAAGGACCTATCCAAAAAATTAGACCCTGTTGCCAGCGGATGACCTTCTTGCCTGAAGGCTATTGCTGTTGTAGCTCTGCTTATCAAAGATGCTGATAAGCTCACTCTGGGACAACAGACAACTGTAGTGGCACCCCATGCTCTAGAAAGCATTATCCGACAGCCCCCTGGCCGATGGATGACCAACGCTCGTATGGCACATTATCAAAGCCCTTTGTTGACTGAAAGAATGACCTTCGCTCCCTGTGCTGTCCTCAATCCTGCTGCCCTACTGCCTGACACTGATGACTCCTCACCTACCCATCACTGCGCTGACATTCTGGCAGAAGAAGCTGGTACCTGAAATGATCTGAAGTATCAGCCTTGACCTGGGAGTCCGAGCTGGTATACGGACAGCTCCATGGTTGAAGGTAAGCAGAAGGCGGGGGCAGCAGTGGTGGACAGGAAGCAAGTGATCTGGGCCAGTGGATGGGAAGCAAGTGATCTGAGCCAGCAGCCTCCCTGAAGGGAAGTCAGCCCAGAAAGCCGAACTTGTGGCTTTGATACAAGCTCTACAGATGGCAGAGGGGAAGTCTATCAACATCTACACTGACAGCAGGTATGCTTTTGCCACTGCCCATATACACGGGGCAATATACAGACAAAGAAGACTGTTGACATCTGCAGGAAAAGACATAAAAAATAAAGAAGAAATTTTGAGCCTTCTTGAGGCCATACATTTGCCAAGGAAGGTAGCCATTAATACATTGTCCAGGACACCAAAGAGCTTGGGATGCTATGCCTAAAGGAAATCAGGTGGCAGACCTAACCGCTAAACAGTTGGCCCAGGGAGCAATGATCCAGGCAGTCAAAGAGCCTAAAGATTATCATGATATCAGTGAAACCAACTTTAGATACACCCCCGAGGACCATCAAGTTATGGGAAAATTAGGACTGGTAAAGGAAGCCCCATATGGGGCAGTAGAGACAGAAGGAGGAAAGCTAGTCCTCCCACGAAAGAACAACACAAGTATGTTACCAACTTACATTACCTGACCCCCTTGGGGGCCAAGAAACTAAAGATGTGGTTAGGTCCTCTGACTTGGCAGAAGAAGTAGTCAAAAGCTGCAGTAGTGGTGGCGCACGCCGGTAGGATTTGCTGAAGGAGGCAGAGGCAGGAGGATCACGAGTTTGAGGCCAGCCTGGGCTACATAGGGACTGGAGAGATGGCTCAGCGGTTAAGAGCATTGCCTGCTCTTCCAAAGGTCCTGAGTTCAATTCCCAGCAACCACATGGTGGCTCACAACCATCTGTAATGAGGTCTGGTGCCCTCTTCTGGCCTTCAGGCATACACACAGACAGAATATTGTATCCATAATAAATAAATAAATAAATTAAAAAAAAAGCTGCAAGGCCTGTGCTATGACTAATGCAGGACACTCCATATATACTCCTGGGAAGAGGCTCAGGGGCAACCGGCCTGGGGCCTACTGGGAGGTAAATTTTACATAAATTAAGCCAGCCAGATATGGTAACAAGTACTTATTAGTTTTTATAGATACTTTTTCAGGCTGGGTAGAAGAAGCTTTTCCTACCAGGACTGAGACGGTCAATGTGGTGGCTAAGAAGATCATAGAAGAAATCTTCCCTAAGTTTGGGATGCCCAAGATAATCGGGTCTGATAATGGACCTGCCTTTGTTGCCCAGGCAAGTCAGGGACTGGCCACCCAACTGGGGATCAATTGGAAATTACATTGTGCTTACAGACCCCAGAGCTCAGGCCAGGTAGAAAGGATGAATAGAACCCTAAAAGAGACTCTTAAAAAATTGGTCCTAGAGATCAGTGGGAATAACTGGACAGCCCTCCTTCCTTTTGCCCTGTTCCGGGTTAGGAACACCCCGGGGCAATTTAAACTCACCCCTTATGAGATCCTATATGGGGGACTGCCACCCTCACTGAGTCGGGTAGAATGTATAATTCTGATGCTATTCTTTCTAGACCTTTATTTGCCCACCTAAAGGCCCTTGAAATGGTGAGACGCCAGATCTGGAAACAACTAAAAGAAGTATATATGCTGAAGACTCACACGTGCTGCATCAGTACCAAGTAGGAGATGATGTTTTTGTCCAGTGTCGAGTTGGGAATCTTCAGCCTCGTTGGAAAGGGCCATACTTGGTGCTCTTGACGAATTGCAGTATCTGGGGCTTTTAACACCACCACCAGTCAGGATGCTTGTGTTTGGGGGACTAATTATAGGCTGACTCTTACTGAGCTTACAGGTGTAGGGTCAAGCCTGGGAAGTACACTGGCTGTCTACAAACGTTTGTGGAATGAGACTCTTAAGAGCCCTAAGACTCCTGACACCAGGTACTTGGTTCCTGGTTTAGATAGGTGGGCTTGTAGGACAGACCTGACACCTTGTGTGTCGACATCGGTTTTTAATGACACCAAACATTACTGTGTGCTTGTACAACTGGTCTTATTCCTAAGATGTTTCTAAGATGTTTGCAGCGCAGCTGCTTTAGCCCGGCAGAGACAGTTGTCAGTCCCTGCAAGATCCCCAGGCGGGCTGGTGGAGCCTGCCATGCGACAAGCGGCTACAGTTTCCCACCAGCGGGAGGGCACGCATGGGCAGTGGTGGCGGGTAACAGACACATAGACACAGAAAATAGCCATAAACATTTATTAAGAGAGAGAGAGAGAGAGAGAGAGAGAGAGAGAGAGAGAGAGAGAGACATGGTGGTGAAGGTCAGAGGTAAAAAAGGAGTGGGCGTGGCTAGGGCAGGGACGGAAAGAATAACAACTGGTACCTAGGGTCTTTTATCATCCAGCTAACATGCTTACAAACACCCAACTTGCTTTAGACAAGAACCCATTCCTCTGACACTAGCAGTAATCCTGGGCCTTGGGGTAGGTGCTGGTGTTAGGACAGGTACCGCTGCCCTAATACAGGCCCCTCAGTACTTTAATGAATTAAGAATAGCCATGGATAAAAATGAATGAGAGTCTCCCAACTCTGGGGGTATTTCGACCCCAAGATGACTAGAAACCAGCCTTCACAGGTCCCCCAAGAAAGACTTAGCCCTGCGGTGGTGACACACGCCTTTAATCCCAGCACTTGGGAGGCAGAGGCAAGCGGATCTCTGTGAGTTCGAGACCAGCCTGGTCTACAAGAGCTAGTTCCAGGACAGGCTCCAAAACCACAGAGAAACCCTGTCTCGAAAAAACAAAAACAAAAAACAACAACAAAAAAAAGACTTCGACACCCACAAATATGCAGGTAGGAGTATTGAGAATCCGCCATCCCAGCTCGCTCAACCTGCTATTACTAACTCCCCACCTTTTTATTATAAGAAAAAGATGGAATATTATAATCTGCTGTCCTGGTTGTCACCTGGGTACCCTGTCCTTTTAAGAGACAAGCCCCGCCCACTCCCAGTCTCACCAGAGGTTTACCCCAGCTCTGTACCTGTCTGTCTCTTGCTTGTCCCTCGGTTTACCCCGTATTATGAATGATAACAGAAAGCCCTCGTGGGAGAGAAGGGGAAAACTGGAGTCAAGACTGTTTTTGTGTGACCGCAGGGCTTTGTCCTTTCCTACCACCGCAGCTTCTTTTGGCCGGGTTTATAGTTTGATTGAGTTGCCTCCCATTTCCCTCCCTCCACTGATAATGATGAAGTTTGCTTATCTGGGAAGCTCTGCTCCCGCCTCACCCTTCCGTTTCAAACCCTGCCCCTCAGGAAGCCCTCTAAGCTACAGTAGCTCCTCTCTTCCCCCCCCCCCAGGATGTCGCCAGATCTAAGAACGCCTAGTTCCTACACCTGCAGTGTGATTTCTCTCCTGTTTCCTTTCCCTCGCAAGCCACCCAGGACTCTGCTTCACTCAGATTAAACCTGGTCTTATTAATTTGACTTTATTTGGTTTACTGCATCAGCAGAGAAACCTACACAACTGGGTATCAAACACTTATCAATGTGAAATGATTCTTTTATTATTTATTATTGAACAAATCCCATGCACAAATATCAAAGGACAAAGAAAATGTAGGACAGATCCAGTACCCCGCGAGCACCTACTGCTCTTGGTTTCCTGGCTCCAAAATGGCCTGCACAACCTCTGGTCACACCTCTTTCCTCCTCTGTGTTCATGTGGATGTCAGAGGAATCGGTTCTCGCCTTCCCATGTGGGTTCCAGGAACTGAACTCAGGTCCTTGGGCTTGGAGGCAAGCACCCTGACCGTTAGAGACAGGGTCTTAGGTAATCCAGGTTGGTATCTTGAATTTAGCCTTACCGGAGCCCTCCTCTCCTCTGTACAACCCTTCTCTGCCTCTTACCCTTCAAACTGTGAGTCAGAATAATCATTCCTTCCTTGAGCTGATTGTTGTCATGTATTTTAACCACAACAGTGAAAGAGGCAACCATTACAATAAATAGATATAAAAAATAAGACTTATTGCTGGGCATGATGGCACACACCTTTAATCCCACAAAGCAAATTCCAGGATAGCCAGGGCTGTTACACAGAGAAACCCTGTCTCAAAAAACAAACAAAAGGGCTGGAGAGATGGCTCAGAGGTTAAGAGCATTGCCTGCTCTTCCAAAGGTCCTGAGTTCAATTCCCAGCAACCACATGGTGGCTCACAACCATCTGTAATGAGGTCTGGTGCCCTCTTCTGGTCTGCAGGCATACATGCAGACAGAATATTGTATACATAATAAATAAATATTTAAAAAAAGGATATGCTTAAAAATTCAAAAAACATGCCTTTAATCCCAGCACTCGGGAGGCAAAGGCAGGTGAATCTTTGTGAGTTTGAGGTCAGCCTGGTCTACAAGAGCTAGTTCCAGGACAGGCTCCAAAGCTACAGAGAAACCCTGCCTCGACAAAAAACAAACAAACAACAACAACAAAAAAAAATTATTTGTATTTGCGAGAATGTCTCTGCCACATGGTATAGATCCCCAAGGAGGCTGGAAGTTACAAGAAATTATGACTAGCCTGCAGTGGACACTGGTATCCGGGTTCTGGTGCTCTGGATATCAGGAAGCATTTTTAACCACATCGCTCCAGACCCACAGTAATAAAGACGTTTTCTTTTCTTTTTCATTTTTTAAAAATGATTTTAGGTTTTAATCTAAGAAGTTAGCACACACACACACACACACACACACACACACACACACACGCACGTACGTTTTGAATGTGCCAGCAGCTCAGCAACCACACCTTCCCGTCCTTTCGGAGTCTGTCTGTACTCACCTTGGTGTGTTGCCTCTCCGTGGTCCTCAGGAGACATTCTGGGCAAGCGAGGCACTGGACTCGAGTTTTGCTCAGGGTCATTTTCTCTGCCAGTTAAAGAATTAAAAGGCAGGGAAACAAATCTCCAGTGTAAGAGGTAACAGCTGGGGGCATCTCCAGCACAGCAGACAGGGTAGCCAGGATCAGCCCCTGAAGAAAGGTTTGTATTGGAGGTGAAGAAACACACACAGCAGCCACAGAGACAGACTCTCTTCAGAGAGAGGAGGAGGGGCATTTTCAGGAAGCTTATCTATCAGAGTCTGCCTCCTAGTCCCTCAGTATTAAATATCAAACTCGGTTTATTTTGCGTTTGGAATCCAGTTTGTTGACAACTATTCTCTCCAGCACAGACTTGGCGTCTTGACAGAGCTAATTGGCTATTACCATGAATTTCTTTCTTACTTTTCTTTCTCTCTGTGTTGCCCTGGCTGTCTGTCCTGGAGCTAGTTCAGTAGACCAGACTGGCCTTGAACTCAGAAATCTGCCTGCTTCTGCCTCCCTGAGTGCTGAGATTAAAGGTGTGAACCACCATTGCCTGGCATGAGTTTGTTTCTTAATTCTTACTTCTGATTCCTTGGTTTGTATGTATTCCATATTGTCGTTACTGTCAGGTCCAAAGGAAACTCCATCTCTCCAAATTCTGACCCAAACCAGCATTCCCCAGGAGCTTGTGAAGCTGGCTCTCCTCAACCAAAGGAGTCTTTCCCCTCATACCTGTCAGAGGGAACGAAAAAAAGCACTGCTGGCCTCCACTCCTCACAACCTCCCCCTCCCCCATATCACAACAATGTAGCTCTTCTCAGGTACACGACCACCCTACCCCTCCAGCTCAGAAGCGTCCCTCCCTGATACCTGATCGCAGCCATGCTTTCTTTCTCATCTTCCCTCCTCTCCTGGCCAGGTCTAGGCAGCTGGCCATGTTCAGTCTACTATTTTCTCTCTCTTCCAGATGCTTCTGGCTGTTCTCTCTCTCATATCTACAATATAAACTTCCCCCTAGCCAGGTGGTGCCACGAGCCTAGAGATAGAGGCAGGCAGATCTGTGGGTTCGAGGCTAGCCTGGTGTACAGAGCGAGTTCCAGGACAGCCAGGGCTACACTGAGAAACTGTGTCTTGGAGAAACAAGTCTCCCTCAGTCACACCATGGATCCATCGTGTCATCAGTTTATACAATTACCACACGACTTTAATTACTTTTCCTTGTAGAAATTGTGAATTATGACTCTCTAATTTTGCTGTATTTTGAGATTGTTTTGATTATGTGGGGTTCACATAAATTCCTCACTCAGTTTTCTATTTTTTTCAACAATTTTCTGCTGAGATTTTGAAAGTTGAGATTGACTCTGTAGACTGATGGGGGGTACTGTTATCTACTTTAACAATATTGTCTTTTGTAGGTCCTGGGGTGGCAGCAGGTGACTTTTCCCCATGAATCATCTTGCTGCGCCAGATCAAGCAAAAAAAAAAAAAAAATTCCCCAATGTCCAAATCCTTCATTGTTTTGTCTGGTTTACTTCTAGTTATGTTATTAGTCTGTTGTTTTAGACACCACTGTAATTATTTACGAGCCACTAAGATTGTTTTGTTCCTTTTACCGTACTGTTTGTTGAAGGTTTTTCTCCAAAGCCTGATTTTGGCAAGTAATTCACCAGCTGTACCAGCTCTCTTTTGGCATGTCTCCACAGAAGCTCTTGGAACAGCAATTTTCTCTTCTTCTTCTTCTCAGATTTTCCTGGATTTTTTATTTCTTGTAGAATTCGTCTTGCTCTGCCTTCCAGTCTGATGTGGCATAGTAACCCTGAAAGCAAACACAGTGACTTGAAATTTCCTACAGGTAGAAATATTAAACACAGCTTTTCTATCAGATAATACTGTAGGGCCCAGCCCTCCAACCTCAACAGAGGCCTGAGTTTCAGAGTAGCTGGTTGCAGGAAAGATGAGACCACCCAGAATTGACCATCCAAACGCAGATTCCTGATGATGTTCCGACCATTATAAATAGGGCCACCTGATGTCCCAAAGCACAGCACACATCCATCCCCTTTCACCAGGGCTAGACAAATGTCAACCAATCAAGGGTCCTGAACATTAGAAATCCCTTACCCCTGAAAGACCCTCGGAGAGGACCTTCCCTCGAGAGGAGACTCCCCCGAAGCCAAGGAACAGGCTGAGACCACATGGATGCAAATAGCAAGAGGTTTATTGGGTAAACACAGGTACCTGCGGGCGACAAAGTCTTTTGGAGGACTTGCGTGCCTGCAGACTGGGGGGAGGTCTTTTTATAGGAAAGAGGGCGGCCAAAAAGCAAATTACAGAAGCAGATGAGTGTAATTGGTCTGATTAGAATGGGGCAGGGGGCATAAGTGGTTTTTCCTTTCCCAGCACAGATGTATGGTAATAGACAACCTGTATAGATATCCTATGTCACAAATATCCTGCTTTGCAGCCAGGGGGCCTGACCTCACTCTGCACTTACATTTGTTTGTCAAGAGCCTTGTAAAATGATGTTACAGCAGCTAAGCTGGGGGAATTGTTCCTTTTGTAAACTGCTGATATTCTAAGTTTGGCACTATAGGCATCCTGTTTCCCTAAACGAACAGGATGTTCTCATGAGAGCCGGCTAGCTGCAGGTCCTGAGAGGGTCCTGAGGGTCTCAAGCGAACAGGATGTTCTCATGAGAGCCGGCTAACTGTGGGTTTTGTGGGGGGGGGGGTGCTGTAGGGTCTTTCAACCCCAAACTCTGTGATTATAAAAACCCCACTACAACTGACATCGCCTCTCTGATTGTGCCAATGTGTTGGACACATGGAGAATCCAAGTTTGAATTTGAATTAAGGCTCTTTACTTTAACATATGGGGCTCAGTCCCCTTGTTGGTTTTTGGAGGACTCCATGATCTAGACATAACAACTTAAAATTTTTATTTAGAACAAGGAATTCTAATCTTTTTTTTCAGCAGTATAACTAAACATTTATTAGAGGGAATAAGTACATAGTACAAATTGGGTCACACAGTCTGGTATACTCAGTGTCCTCCTAGTCCTGTGTTCTGATACAAGTGCTTCAATTATAAATTACAAATACAAAAAATTATCCAGGCAAATGCAACAATATCTTGAAGACATTGCTGTTAACAAGTTACCCAATATTAAGACTTGATTATAAGGGAGAATATCTTAGGCATTTCTCATACTGAATAGCATTAAAACCAACAGTAACCAATTTCTAATTACCCAAATCTTAGAACGAAAAAGGAATTCTAATCTTTTTAACACTCATCACCCTCCCCTCAGAAAACATCTGTCCTTTGTTTATGCAGGAACTGCCTGCTGTGGTCCAGGAATTTGAGGGCCAGGAGCAGTGACCTCTTTCCCCTATTTCTCTTGCACCCGTTTCTTTAAAGACTGAAGTAATTGGTCTGGAGAGATGGCTCAGTAGTTAAGAGCATTGCCTGCTCTTCCAAAGGTCCTGAGTTCAATTCCCAGCAACCACATGGTGGCTCACAACCATCTGTAAAGAGGTCTGGTACCCTCTTCTGGCCTGCAGACATACATACAGACAAAATATTGTATGCATAATAAATAAATAAATA